AAAAAAAAAAAAAAAAAAGGAATCGCACTAAAACTCTTCCTCAGTAAAACACTAGATCAACACCTCAGGAAATGAAAATTGGACTTCGTTACCAAAATTCAACGCAGGATATTTGGCCAAATATGCCCATCGTTCATTTTAGCCAAATCTATACGTAGGAATAGTATAGTACTTATTAAGAAGAAAATTTAGCAGAAATGGGAAATTGATTGAACCTTTTCTGGATTCGGTGGAAGAACATAAATTTTTCTTCTGTGTGAATGTCGGTACTGTAATTAATGTAGAAAGATTTCTAAAAATTAATTTGTTGAAATGCAAATTGAGAATGGGTTTCGTATGAGACAAGCGAGGAAGATAAAAGGCCTCTTCACGGAGAGAGAGTAAGACACAAGGAATCTGTATGTGTACTGTGAGTATGGACATGAGAGAGAGAGGGTGCTGGACTGGAGTTGGTCCACCGACAGATTTGGAAGGCGGCTTCTTGTTTTCCGGCTTTGGCTCCAGCTCGGCTTACTGAGAGACAATATAAAATAATAATTGAAAGCAAACATCCTGAGATTTCAAAATTATGAATTTCGTACAAATTAAGGTTCTGTTTCGACAAGGAGCTCCCCATTTACCTTTCTAGTGGATAACAAGCTCCCCAAGATTCATTTACCTTAAGTTTTACCATCTAACCACACAAGTTAACCACTCATGTACCTCCACTAAAATATTTTTAAGACATGCTCATTCATCAGTAGTTAACGTGACAGTTCGTCACGTCACATATTGCAATGAATTAAAATACATTCTCTAAATCAATATCCTAATAATTAATAACATCTAATATTTCGCTAGGCATAATTTAATATTTCGCTTATCTAATAATCAATATAAAATCACGTTTCTTATAAAATAAGATATATGGAGTAGCATTTTTTTTTCTAATTTCTTGGTTTCGAAATGTATTCTTCAAAATATCTAACGAGCTACGACATGGATGAAATATGAAAAGTCGAGAAGAGAAATATGAGTGAATGACACATGTTACTATCCATATCTTTTTCGAGTTCCTCTTCATGATGATTTTGTGACGTTTCAATTGCTATGTGATCTTCTCCCGATATTTCTTCATGGACAATTTGTTGGTCTTCTCATATTCCTTGAGTTTAATTTTAATTGGAGATATTTAGAGTGTGTTTGGTAGAGATTAAAATCGGATTAAAATTGAAAAATTAGTCGTTATTGTTGACTTTTATTAGACGAGTGGGACCCAAAATGACTATATTTTCAATTTTAATTGAATTTTTAGTGTTACCAAACAAGCTCATTTAATATTTTATTGAAATTTTATACCAAGTTCATTGATAACTTACAAACAACATAAATATAAAACTAAATTAGCTTGATGAAGACTTTCTAACTGCCTAAAAATATGCAACGATATTAACAAATATACATGAAATAATTTTTCTTTAAGTAAATGTTCTACAAATTAATAACTTTCGCTAATTAACAAATCACCGTGCAACGAATCGAATTGATTTAGAGAGATCAAATAGTACATTCTAAATTAATACGACTGTTGATGGAAAAGCATTGCTTACAAAAAAACATTGCTCAAAGTGGACACATATCGACTCTCCTTCGAAGGGCACACATTAGAACGTGTACTAGAAGATTATGTGAGATTATTTAGAAGAAAACAAAATCTGGATGCATATGACATAAAACAATGATTGGGGCTTCATGCCAAATACCAGCTATGAAGCTACCATGAATGGCCAGGACAGACCAGCACAATCACTACTAATTTTATTCTCTAAAAAACAAAAGGTGTTTATTTCCTCAAAGTGCCAGCCATGGTAGTTGACCTGTAACTGTCAAACAAGATGAAGATCTTAATCATCACATCACTTTCTAATCAACTGATATAATATACAAACCCCACAAAAAAGAAGCTTGGTGGTTTTGTTAGTTGAAAGGCATGTTTCTTGACTTTCCCTCAACATTTTCCGGATTAGTCGACCACATTTACCTACCTACCTTATGGAAATGGAGAGATCGAAACTGGAGTTCCGCCCAGCAAAGGAAGAAAATGCCTCTCCTGTTTCACTAAATCCCAGCTTCCCAAGAGTACCGTAACAGGTTGCTCTGTGGCAAAGGCATTAAAAACAATTGGCTACAACGCATCTCTAAACTGCACTTGCGTTTAACAACCGATCATCTTTGATTTTAGACTTGATTTCCTGTATTGCAACTGAAGAAAAATGCTGCAATCACTTGTAGAAAACCCTCAGAGGTTAGATAAAAGGACTTAATTTCCTTAGGTAGGATGAAAATAAACTCGCAGTGAATGTATGGAGCTGAAATTGTGCTAGGCTAATAGAAGTGGAGTATGATTGCAGAACGGTCAAAGCTTGCTCGGTGATGGCTCTGTCCCTAGCTTGCCTAAACCAGTCGCCAACAATTTCTAATGTCCGGCTGCCTTCAACACCATTTCAAGAGCATCTGCAGCTTCACAGAGTTTCCCTTCAGACAAGAGGCTCTCGACTCTATTTATGAGAGATTCAATTCCATCACCATATTGGTCAGCCTCCTCAACCTGAACTTAGAATAGATGAATAATAATCAGTCTAGAAAATTTCTGAAAAGGTTGTGTTTCCTTGACCTTATCGAACATTCATACATGCGAGTAAGAGAATTTTGAGGCATATGATGTTGGAAATTGGTTTGAACGATTGAAATTTGGTTTAAGTGATAAAACCAAAATTTGGAAAAAGTGACTTTCGTGTTAACTTCGACCAAATATTCGGACTTGATCCAATGGTCAAATTACAAAAGTAAATAGACCAACTTGTTCTACTCGTCGAGTAGATCGTTGTGGTATATTTGGAATCTCAAAACCAATTCTGGATGAATGAGAAATTGCAGTCCAAAGTTAGGAAAAAAATAGAGGAAGCTGTCCGGAAATTGACTAAGGTTGTTGCTAGCTTATGGTTGAGCTATCGCTCCAGCGACAGGCTAGCGAAAAAGTCGCCGTTTTTTATAGCTCAAGCGAGGCGACAGTGAATGGTGCGATCTTTAACAAGAGTTGCTGAGCTTGGGGCGCGACATTTCATTCACAACCCCTCATCCTCTATATATAGGACCCCTAGGGACGTCCCAATCTTCATACCAATGATACGTTCATATAGCATTCATTTTCTCTCATTTCTCAACCAAATTCTTGCATTCTTGTTGCATGGTTTTCTTCACTGTGCATATCGGAGTTCATAAATCAAGTTCTGGTTCGTCGTTTCTTGTGTGTTGTAGTGCTACTCACACCAGAAGATAGTCGTTGTATCTTGGAAGTTGATTGTCATAAACCGTAGGCATCGTTGCGGGGCAAATTCGACTTAAAGACAAAGCGTTCAATACTTACCTCGACTTTGATATTATTGCTGAGATGCTGCACATTTTTTAGGATTTATTTGGAGTTCATTTCCGACCGTTACTCTGCCGAAATTTCTACAGAATTTTAAAGGTAATTTGAAGTATTTCTCGGCGTTGTTTGTCACTCCATACACGAAATTTTCCAACAATCTTAAGTCGAATTGTTGTTGGAGTGACTTTGATCTTCGGTTAAATCATACGTTGGTTTAACTTCTTCTACTCTTCTATTGATTGTTGATCTTCTGTTTTGTGTAAACAGAAATGACTTCGATTTTCAATACCGATACTATTTCGAATGAAATTTCGAATATGGGAACTTTGGAAGGAAGTGTTCCTAATGGAGTGATTCCTCCGGTTGTGAATGCCCCTACCAATTTTGTTCCACATGGAGAGAAATTCAATGGTTCTGATTTTAAGAGAATGCAACAGAAAATGTCGTTTTATCTTACGACCCTCAACTTGGCGAAATTCTTGAATGAAGATGCTCCCGCTATACAAGAAGAGGAAAACAATAGGGCATCGTTGATTGCTCTAGATGTATGGAAACATTCGGATTTTCTATGCAAGAATTACATCCTGAATGTATTGGACAACTCGTTGTACAACGTTTATAGTTCCAAAAATATGCAAAGGAACTATGAGAGTCCTTAGAAAAGAAATACAAAACTGAAGACGCCGTAACTAAAAAGTTCATTGTGGAAAAGTTTTTGGACTACAAAATGGTAGATTCTAAGACTGTCATCAGTCAAGTGCAAGAATTGAAAATTATCCTACATGATATTCATGTGGAGAATATCTCTTTAAGTGAATCATTTCAAGTGGTTACAATCATTGAGAAACTACCACCTATGTAGAGGGACTTCAAGAATTATCTCAAACGCAAGCGCAAAGAGATGAACTTTGAATGTAACACCCCGAAAATTTAAAATACAATTATTTGTTTTATAAATTTTATTTTTGAAAGTTGAGAGATTAAAATAAAGTATGTTTTAAAT